TATTTTCCAGGTAGCCATTCAATAATACTCAACTGTGATCTAATGATTGCTTATATTTGATCTAAATCACCACATCTCTTCAAAGGTAAATTTAGAACCATGCTATCAGTTCTTATTTATACAGATCACTGCTTTAGCAGATACAAACAAAATCAACAAGGATTAAGTTTATTTTGTGATTAAACCTGGAGCCATCTTGTCATTGCTTTTTCTTTCTGTACGTGATGGTTATTGCCATTAATTTCTTCTATTTAGTTTTACTAAGCTGGAAAGCCAGGGTAAAGTTAATGACAGTTTTTTTCATTGTCTGTTTTGTTTATTTCTGTACCATAAGATCACTGTTGGTGAATGAAATACCAGGTGCAAAAATTAATGATTTGATTTTGTACGGTACCGCTGAGTAATTTTTTACTTATTAAAAATAAATTAAGAAATTTGACAATATATTTGTAAATCCTGTTCCATAGTTGGCTTCAGAGATTCCAGTTTTGCTGTTCATTTTGTGAGTAATGTTGCTTTGGTGTTTTCCTGATTTTCAAGTTCTGCTGTCATGGAGATGACAACAGTCACTGGGTGTAGAAAGACATTACTTCAAAGTACTTTTGCATCCTGGAAATTCTATTAAAATGGTTGAGGGAAAATGATGGTAACCATGTAAAACCAAGAAGATCTGGTAAATTCCAGACTGTTGGATGGAATTTCTAATGTCCACTCCTTTTTAGAGTTCAAAGCAGTTATGTTACTCATCTGTAAGTTCCTCTAAATTGTCCCAAAGGTAGAACTTAGAAATAGACGTGTATCTTTACTTTTATGTTTTTTCTATTATCGTACTCCATGGTAGTTCCAGTGACAAGGCATTAAAAAAATCAATCAGGTTTAGAGTCCACTATTTTATAATTAATAAAACGAAGACAGAAAATTAGTCTCTTGAGATCTTGAGGAAAAATCTCTTGACCTAATAATTCTTTCAACCATAATAAATATAACCAAAAATGTATTGTAATCATAAATATATGATTATTTAGATTACAATCACTAGGTTTATGGGCTTGACTATTTTAGCAAATTCAAAAACAGGAAGTTGAGATTTTGGGGATCACAGTAAGTAATCAGTCCGTAATTTGTGTTCATTTTTCTCTTGCCATGTCCTACCTTTGTTCTTTTGTTGTTTTGTTGTTGTTGTTGTCGTTTTGGGGTTTGGGAGGGTTTTTTTGCTGAGGAAGATTAGCCTTGAGCTAACATCTGTGCTGATCTTCCTCTACTTTATATGTAGGTCGCTGCCACAGTGTGGCTGACGAGTGGTGTAGGTCCATGCCTGGGATCCAAACCCGCAAATCCAGGCCACTGAAGCAGAACATACTGAACTTAACCACTATGCCACAGAGTCCACCCCTTGTTTTTTTAACTGAGAAATATTCAAAAAATATATATTCAGAAGACTACATAAAATATAAATGCACAGTTTAAGGAATCATTTTAAGGTGACTACTTGTATAACCAGCTCTCAAATCAACAGAACATTGACAGCAGCCCAGAAACTCCCCTTGTAGTCCCTTCCCAGTTACAAGCAGCTTCCCTACATATACCCTCTGGCAATTACCACTACACTAGCTTTTGTGATAATTATGTCTTTGGTTTTATTTATAGTGTTACCATCTATGTATGTACCTAAACCATACAGTTTACTTTTAAGAGTTTTTGAACTTTATGTAAGTCAAATCATATTGCATTCTTTTGTGGCTGCTGCTTTCATTACGTGTGGGATTCATCCATGTTGTTGTCCATAGCTGTTTTCCATCATCATTGTTGTATGATTTGCCTTTGCATTAATATACCACAAATTATTTATTCATTTTATTGATTGTGGACAATTGTGATATTTTTAGTTTGAGGCAATCACAATTCCACGATAACATTATTGTACTTGTCTCCTAATGCAAATAAGGTGTATACCTAAGAGTGGAATTGGTTGGTCATAGGGTATTCACATCTTAAATCTTATAGATAATAACAAAGATTGCCTGAGCAATAGAGGTTCCTGTTTCTCCACATCTTGCTCAACACTAGTGTTAACAGATTTTTAAAAATTTTGCTAAACCGGTGGATAATACAGTTGTGTCTCATTGAAGTTTTACTCTGCATTTCCCTAATTACCAGTGAAGTTGAGCACCTTTTCCTAAGTTTGTTGGTCACCTTGATTTTCTTTTTTGTAAAGTGTTTTTTCAACTTTTGCCCATTTTTCTGTTGTGCTGATGGTCTTTTTTCTCATTATTCATAAAAAGATCTTTATAAAACCTATTCTTTGTTAGCTATATAGTTGCAAATATCTTCTCCCACTCTGGCTTCCCTGTCTTTATGATGTTCTTTGATAAACAGAATTTGTTAATGGTTAAGTACTGAGAAGTCTCAATCTTTTATTTTAAATTAAGAGTTTTTTGTAAGTTGTTTAAAAAATTGTTCTCTACCAAAGGTCATGCAGATACTCCTCCATACAGTCGTGTGTCCATTAACAACAGGAGTACGTTCTGAGAAACATGTCTATAGTTGTGTGAACATCATAGAGTGTTCTGAAGAGGAAGAAAATTTGCCACCTCAAAATGTGTCTCTTTAACATGAGGATTATTTTAGGCTGATTATTTTTAAGAAACAAAAGACTCAAAGAGAGTTTTTCTTGTTTCTCCCCTAACGGCTTAAAAGATTTCAGATTAAAAAAACTGTCTCATCAAGTGAGCTATCACCTTAGCATTACGTGAACTGGGTAGTAGACAGGGAAGAACCTCGAAGAGCCTGTTTGTTGGGCTCCTCTCTGTCTCCTGTTTCTGTGTGGCCAAACACTTGTTTTCCAAACATTTGCTCCTATTCTCCTATGTTTGGATTGCCTTCCTTCCCTTTGAAGTCTCTGACTCTTTCCCCAACCCCAACATCTTTTATCTTTAACTGAAGGTGATATTTAAGGTAAAGGCTTTGACCGTTTTGGCTAGTTACACAGTTTTCCTGGGTTTCTCCCATGTGTATGTATTACTAAACTTTGTTTTTCTCCTGTTAATCCATCTCCTGTCAATGTAATTCTTAGACTAGCCAGAAGAACCTAGAAGGGTAGAAGCAAATTTTTCTCCCCTACAGTACTTACACAAACCTAGATGGTATAACCTACTACACACATACTCTTTATGGTACTAATCTATGGGACCACAGTCATATGTTCAGTTCACCATTGACCGAAACATCATTATGTGGCACATGACTGTGTCGTCTTCTAAAAGTGTTACTTTTGCCTTTCACGTTTAAGTTTTTAATTCGCGAGAAATTAATTTTAGATATGCTGAGAACTGCTTCACCACTGTTTATTGAAGTCTTTTCTGCAGTGCCACCAGAGTCATGTATCATATCCATATATCTATACATCTTTCTGAATTTTTTGTTGTTTTTCTATCCCTGTGCTAATATACTGTCTTCATCACTGTAGCTGATACATTGTTTTTGATATTTGGAAGAAAAAGTCCTCCCTACTTACTGTTCTGTAAGAGTGTCATAGTTATTCTTAGCCCTTTGTTTTTCAGTTCTCAGATTTCTAATTGCAAATATGCAAATCTGTCACTTGCACAGTTTCCAGTTGTCTTGCTGAAATTTTCAGTCTTTATCTGCATGAATATGAAAAGCATTATTTTATAGTCTGTGTTTTAATAATTCCCAAATCTTAAACTCTCCTGTGAGTCTGTTTTTTTGTTTGTTTGTTTCTTCTAATCCTCATTCTTCTTATCTTATTATATCCTTGTATGTCTGGTTATCTTTAATTGTATGCTAATATTATATTTGAAAAATTGCTTGTAGAAATAATTTGATGGCCAGCATGATATTTTCATCCTCCACAGAGTTTTTTAATATGCTCTGCCAGTCACTTGGGCACTAGTAATTCAGGATCATTTTGACCCAATTTCAGAGACTTAGATTTTCTGAGTCATCCATGTGATGCAGAGCTGAACTGTAGATTGTACTAGTGCTCTTAGTTCCTGTTACCCCTTATTCCTACTGCCCTTCAGGTTCCTCAGAGTGGGTTGGGATTACCAAGACCCCCACCTCTTGGCTGGCACTGGACTAGTTTTGAATCCCTAGTGCCTTAGCTCTGCTCAGCTTCTCAGTGGCCCCTTACAAATCTGCCAAGGCTCCCAGGGCACCAGTAGGGTCCCAAATGAAAGATTCACCTTTATGAATTTTCTGTTTCTATTCTAGCTCTCAGATATTAGCCTAACAGTTATTCACTAATAATCCAATTAGTGATCATTTTTTGAAATATATTTTGTCCACCTTTTCTAAATATTCTCAAGTAAGAATGTTAAACTAAACTTACCTAGCCGACTTTATTTCCTAACTGTTGATTATGTGTAAAATATAATTGATTTCTTTGTATTGCTTCTATATCTGGAAACTTACTAAACTCTAATGATTCTTGTAAATTTTTTTTCAGTTTTCAGTATCCTACATAATCTTCAAATAGGGACCACGTTTAGTCTTTTTTAAGATCTAAATTTTCGTTTTGTTAATCCTCTCTATTGTATGTTTATTCTCTATTCCATTAATTTCTGTTCTTATCATTATTACTTTTTTCTGTTTTCTTTGGTATATTTTACTGTTCTTATTTCTAACTTCATTTTCAGCCTGTCTTCCAACATATGCATTTAAAAGTTATAAATATCTCTATATTACTGTAAAGTAATTACATTACATTATACTCTACTGTGTTGTAGCATATGCTACCAGTCTCAATATATTGCATGGTTAATATTTAGTTAAAATATTTTGTTTTTCATTAGGAGTTCCTCTTCAACTCTTGGGTCTTTTAGGAAAATGTTTCTTAACTTCCAGCATAGAGTTTGGGTTTTGGGGTTTTTTAAATCCAGTTTGATGATCTTTGTCTTTTAACTGGAACACTTAATCTATTTACATTTAATGTAATTATTGATATATTTAGATTTATTTCTGCCATCTTAGGGGGTGGGGTTTTGTTTTTCCTCTAGCTTGTTTTATGATTCCTTTTCTTCTATTTTCTTACCTTTTTAAAATTTTCATTTATTTAATTTTTTAAATCCGTTTATGCCGATTATTAACTGATTGTCTCTCAACTCTAGACACCCTTCTATATTCTGGAACTTTGCAAACTACATTTCTCATTTGCCATCTGGCTTCCTTTAGGTTACACAAATAGGGGGCACTAAAGGAAACTGGAATGCTGGAGGTAGGGAGAAGAGACTTTTACTCTTCCCATTTGCTTCCTGATATTGTCAGCATCACCTCAGCAATGGCTTTTCTCCCAGTAGTTGTGGTTAGTTCCCATGCTCTAGTTTTTCTCCGGCAATCTGCAGAGTATCTCTTCTAGGCTTCCAGGTTCTAGTAATCCCACCCTTTTCCCTTAAATGTCGTGTCCCTTGGTGACATTATCAGTTCTCCTAAAACCTGTTTAACCAATTCCTTATGTTAAATTCTTTCTTAATATAAATGATATGGTCTCTCTTTTCCTGAGCTGTACACATTTTATTTTTCTTTACTAGTTTAATAACTTTCATCCTTTGATGATTACCCTTTATTACAACATGCCATATTCAGGTAAAGTTAGACTAAAGTTAATCATTATCTTTATCTTTTGGCAGATTATAGTTTCCAAAAATGGCCACAACATTTCCAATCACAGATACTATTCTAGAAGCTTATCACCTATCCCCCAAACCCATCAAGAGACAGAATCTGTTTCTGCTCCCCTTGAACCTAAACAAGGATTTATGAATGCCTCAACTAATGTAACAGAGTACAGCATATGTAACTCTGTATGACTTCTAAGGTTAGGTCATAAAAGGCTTCCACTTGGCTGTCTCTCACTCTCTCTTGCTTGATCTCTCCTTCTTGGAAAGCTCATCCTTGGAATCCAGACATCATGTTTTGAGGAAGCCTAAACTACCCCACATGCAGAGAAAATGAGGCCCCTAACCTACAGCCAGCGTCAGGTGTCAGACGACATGTGAGTAAGCAAGCTTCCAGATGATTCTAGGCCCCAGGCTTAATGGAGTAGAGACAAACCTTCCCTGCTGTGTTCTACCAAATTCCTGACCCACAGAGTCCATCAACATGGATTGTTTATGCAAATAAGTTTGGGGATTATTTATTATGCAGATCACTGGTACAACTCTAATTCCCAACTTGCATACTGTGGTCATATATTTTATTTCTGTTATGTATTCAATTCTGTTGTCATGTAGTTTAATGTCTTAATTTTGCAAGACTTTATTACTTTGTCTAGATAGTCTATGTTTGTATTTATTCACAAGCATATCACTTTCATTGCTTTTTTGTTCTTTTTTGTTTCTCAGGCTTACCATCTGGAATAAATTTCTTCCTACCTGAAATATTTCCTTTAGAAGTTCATTTTGTGAGAGTCCACTGGTGGCATACTTGCTCATGATTTCTTTGTCTGCAAATACATTTTGCCAAATGTAAAATTCTAATTTGGTCTTTATTATCTTTCAGCACATTGGAGATGCTTTTCTGCTCTCTTATGACTTCTGCTGTTGCTGTTGAGTCAGCTGTCAGGCTAAATATTGCATCTTTAAAAAGAAATCTGTTTACATGCTTTCATTTTATGCAGTTTAATTATTATGTGTTAAATAATTAGTCTGTGTTAAATAAATAATCCTGGGTATGGATTTCTTTTTATTAATCCTGTTTGGGATTTGTTCAGCTCTTTGAATGTAGATTTATATCTTTTGTTAGTTCTGAGAAAGTCTCAGATCTTATTCCTTCACATGTTCCCCGCTCCCCGCCATTCTCTTCTATGGTGACTCTCATTGAACATGGCAGACTTACTCTGCCCTCCCTGTTTATCACCCTCTCTTCTGTATTTTCCAATTGTTTTTGTCTTATGCTTTATTCTATGTAATTTCTTCTCACTCATATTCTAGTGTACTTCTTTTTATCTGTTAAGTATGTACTTACTATTATATCCATCCATTTTGTTTTTAATTTTGGTTGTATTTTTCAGTCCCAGAAGTTCTGTTTGGTTCTCTTTTTTAAAGCTGCTGGGTCACTTTTTGTAGTTTCCTATCCCATGCAGATATTTTCTAATATTTATTATTTAAACTCTGAGGGCCATTTTATGGTCTTTGTCTCCCAATTTCAATTTCTGCAGTTTTTGTGACTCTTTTTCCCAACTAAATGTGTTGCTTGTCTCCTGTTAGACTCTCCACCTTGATCAGGCCCTCGCCTTTGATTTCTAGCTCCCTTGTCCATTCCTTCTCACTTCATTGCAGTCAACCACGTGCCTCACCATCTTTAGGGGTCCATTTTGTTGAAGCTTTCGGTATTAAGGACTGTATTTTCTTATAGAATGCAAGAATTCACTCTTAACCTTTTGAGATGGTAGCAAATTGGAGCTCTTTAGTCTCTTGTTCCTTAACTATATTTGGACTAACTTAATTTTAAGGTCTTTGAGAATAAGAGATTAGACAGACAGATGATAGGTAGGTAGGTAGGTAGGTAGGTAGGTAGATAGATAGATAGGTAGATAGATCTTTTGAGATCTTTGCATCAGTTAATACAGTTGATATCACAGATTTTAAAGAAGTTTGCAGACTTCATTATAACAAATTTGATTGTGGTGTGTGATAAAAGGGCAGATTTCTGGACCAACTCCAGAAATTAGTAAATCTGAAGGAGGCTTAGGATTCTGCATATTTTCAGGCATCCCAGATAACTCATTGAGTTAGTTTGCTAGGACTGCCATAACAAATACCGCAGACTCAGTGGCTTAAACAACAGAAATTTATTTTCTCAGTTCTGGAGGCTAAAAGTCCAAGATCAAGGTGTCAGCAAGGTTCATTTCTTCCTGTTTGCTTACAGATGGTCATCTTCTCCCTCTGTCATGCATGGTCTTTCCTCTGTGCTTGCGTCCTAATCTCCTTTTCTCATAAAGACACATCTGTATAAGATGTTGGAGGTAAGAGGACCTTAGAAATCCATTCTAACCCCTTCGTTTTTTCAGATGAGGACACCAAAGAAGCCAAACGTCCAAATAATTAGAACCAGGAGTAGAATATAAGCCATATCTTTTGATTCTTAGTTGATTGCACAAGTGATTCCCAAATTGAATGACCATCAAAATCAATTTAGAAGCTTGTTTTTCAAGAAAAAAATTTATTAAAAAAATATCCCTGAGATTTTGATTCAGTAGATCTAGTGTGGGGTTGAGAAATCAGTATTTTTAAAGGATTCTGAGTGATTATAGTCAGTCTCACTGTTATACTTTTGAAATGGATGATTACATAGCCTTTTACCATCCTTACCATTAAGGCTTTTACAAAAGGGGGTATGGGTTGATTTAGAGTTAACAAAAAGTTAACGTCAGGGAAAAACATGGAAATTAATAAATTTCATTTATTTCTAGTAACAAAAATGTAACGTGGAATATTTCCATTGGGAAAGGGCTTCTCCTAGTACATTTCATGTCTCTGGTTTCTAGCTAGATAGTTAGAATGACTTAAATTTGATAAATCAGATTTCAACAAAACCTAGTGAGGTTTTCTGGAATTGCTAGAATTTAGGAGAACTAGAAAATCTGCTGTGGAAACTGTATAGAGGGGAAATGTATTTAATTGAAGCATAGGGAAATAAAAACATTTGGAATGGATCATATGTTTTCAACTTATATCAATGCTTGGGAATGCGTATATCTCTGAGTTACCTTCACAGCTATATTTTATAGTTTACTGGTGAGTTGGTTTCATTCTGACAAGATAGTGAAATTGTATGCTACAGTGTTTAATTCTGGTGTCCAGGTAAGTGACTTGGTAATCAGGATCAGGAAAATCAAGGTAATTTTCTTTAAAAGTAAGATCTTCCTTTTGAAAAGTTACCAAGACACATGAAGCTAGGTTTCCCATTTTGGTTCATGCAATATGTAGATTTTTCCTCAACCTCTCTCCTCTCTCTTCTGTGTTGGGTTCTTGGCCTAGAAATTGTGGGTGGAGAAGCTTGATTAAATAAAAAGCCAATATCAAGGAACAGGGCAGTTTCTTATTTCAATGTGAACTGATTTTCCTGCTTGTAGTTGGAACATTGGTGGTGTATTTAATAAATTTAGTTAATTAAATACTGAATATTTGGATGCTTTTTTAATTTTTATTTTATTGACTTCTAACTTCCTAATAAATTTTTCTCTAGGAACTTTTTTTTTCCTGGCTAGCTTAATATCAGTTACCTACTCTACCATATTTTAAAGTGACTTTTAGTCTAAACTTCTAATTTCTGAAGTTGGGAAAAATAAATTGAGGAAATATCTTTGACCATTCTGATTCCATCATTGTTCTTGCCTTCTGGTGTCATCTCTCAAAAGCTGAATGCTGACATGGGTTAACAAGGATCAGAGAAAACCTCATTTTCTTTTTGGTAGTATTTTGCTGGAAATAACTTTCTCCAAGTCTCCGGATTTTAATCCTTAGGTGCTCTACAATTCCCATTTCCAAACTTAAGGCAAATTAAAGCTAAGGGTTCTAGCATTCCCAATGTGCCCCAATTAGCTATAAGGCCAAACTCCTGAAACAATTGTAGAGTTCCCCAAAGTTTCCTTAAAACTTCACCACTATTTGTCAAGATGGGTTTTGACCTTTTTGTAGTTTTTCTTATACAGTCCTATTTCTACTCTCATTTACTCTTCTAGTTTACTCTTCCATCATCTTTATGCTTTTGAAAGAAAAGAGAAGATAGATTATTTGAAGTCTCTCTCCATGTGCCCCTCTAATTCCTTCTGTTTATATGTTATTTCATAATCCTTATAACAAGGGAATCTGAACTGTAGGGAGGTCAAGTAACTTGTTCCTGATCACAAAGCAAACTGAACTAGTCTAGCCACCAGAGCAATAGTAATCTGGTTGTGTATTTCTGAAAGTATTAACATTTTACATGAACAGCCCATTTTTGGTTATTTCTTTCCTTTGTCTTATTTTTTTCTCTTCTGGACCTGCTATGAGGTTCACCCCAGTCAAGGTGCTGCACTGTAGCAGTGACAGCTTGAGCACCTAAAACTCCAGGAGAAAACTCATCCTCCTGTCAGAGAAACCAGGAAAAGTGGGCCCTGTGGTCTGAAGAATAGGGGGTTGTGGGGGAAGAAGGCTAGAATTCCTGTTTTTTCTTTTTCTTTTCTCTTAACATCTTTTGCCCCAAGGGCAGCCCCAGTCTCACAGAAGTACAGTGGTGGCACAGGTGGCTACAACTCTTAAGAAGCCCCATCTTTCCACCTAGAAGACCGAGAAACAGGAACTTTGATAGCTGCAGAGTCAGGGGGAAATCCTGGAGAGGTGAGAGAGCTGGAAAAGAGCATCCCCTAGTTCTGTGTATGAAGTGACATGTGTTCCAGGCTCACCCCTGAGCTGCGCATGCACAAAACATACAAAACAGCGAAGGGTTTGAGAACTAAACTGAGATATAAACCACTACCTTAACCCCAGCTTAATCCCTGAGATATACTTGTCCAAAGCAACACAACAAAGGCTTTGAAAACTGAGCTGATGTTGGAACCCCTTCCCACAGAAAGTAAGTCAGAACTGGTTCAATCTATTCAGAATGATTGCCTGCTTTAAAAAAGAAAAAAAGAGCTCCAGAGAATTTTAGGAGGACCCAGAGGCTCATGACATAGTATTCAAAATGTCCAAGATATGATTTAAAATTACTTGATAGATAAAAAACCAGAAAAAGGTGACCAATTCTCAAGGAAAAAGACAACAAATGCCAACACTAAGATAACCAAGATATTGAAATTATCGAAGCCTTTGAAGAACTAAGCTCCATGAAGTGGTGATAAACACTTGAAACAAGTGGAAGGATAGCTGTTCTCAAGAAAGAAAGAAAAACTATAAAAACCAAGCAGAAATTTTCAAAATGAAAAAATTTCTGAAATAAAAGATCCACTGGGTGGGCTCAGTAGAACTTCTTCAAGTTGAAGGGAAATGATACCACAGGAAGAAGGAAAAACAACAGGAATGGGAAATATCTGGGTAATAATAGACTACTTTTCTCAAATTCTTCAATATAATTGTAACTATTGAAAGCAAAAATTATAACATTTGTTGGGGTTTCCACTGTTATGTAGATGTAATACATATGACAACTTGAGGAGAGAGTAAAGGGACGTATATGGTTGTAAGTCTACGTTTTCTTTGAAATAGCAAAATTATTAACTCTACATAGATTGAGAAGAGTTAGGTATGTATATTGTAATTTCCAGAGCAACAGCTGTAAATAATAATATAAGCATAGCCAAAAAGTCAGTAAATAAAAATGGAATACTAAAAAGCATTCAGATTATTGAAAAGAGCAGGATTGAGGTTGGGGGAACACAGGAAAAACAGAAGTGACAAACAGAAAACAATAAAATATTGGACATAAATCCAACCATATAAAAAAAACATTAAATTTAAATAGTCTAAACAATTTAAAGTCAGAAATTTTCAGGTTAGATTTTTTTAAAAAAGAGCAAGACAAATATATGTAGCCTCTAAGAAACCTACTTTAAATAGAATAACAAACGATGAGAACACTGAAAAAAAGTTGGGGTGGTTTTATTAATATCAGAAAAAAGTACACATCAAGTCAGGGAAAGTTACATAATTATAAAGGAGTTAATCTACCAAAAAGACATAATCTTAAAAGCATGTGCACCTTGTAGTGCACAGACTAAGGTAACCCACATGATTCCCATTTCCTGGTATTCATACATTGTGTAAACCCTGTATCTTGAGAGTGGTTTGGACCTGTAACTTACTTCTAACCAATAAAATATGGCAAAGGTGGTGGGATGTCAATACCATGGTTATGTTACATTATATGACAAAGGTCATTCCCATGATTATGTTATGTTATGTAAGACTCTATCTTGCTATCAGATTTGCTTTCTAGTCCCTCCTCCCTTCTGCCGTCACTCCCTTCAGCTACCCTTCATTGCTATCTTTGAAGAAGCCAGCTGCTATGAATCCTAGAACGGCAAGGAAATGAATTCTCCAAACAACCTGAGTGAGTTTTGAAGTGGATCCTTCCTCAATCAAGTCTCAGATAACCTAGCCTTAGCCAACGCCTTGACTGCGACTTAGCAGAAGACCCAGCTAAACCAAGCCCAGACCCCTAACCCACAGAAACAGGAAAGGATGGAGTAAGGGAACAGAAAGACAGAGAATATGAGTACCTATATATGAATATCTATCACCGGAGATGTAGAAATACTGAGGTTTTAAAAAAAGGTTTTAGACATAAACATGGGTTTGGATTCCAGCTTCACTTATTAGCTGTGTTTCTGTCTTAACTTCTTTAGCCATGCGTGAAAACTACTTAAGTGTTGCTTTCCTTGATCATAAAAATGGGCATAATAATCATACCTTCCTCGTAAAATTGTTGGGAGAAATAAAATGAGACAATTTGTGTAATCCTGGCACTACACACAGTGCCCAGCACGTGGTAAGTATATGGTGACCAGGGCTTCTGTTACTTGAGATGGTTCTTTTGTTCTTCTGAAAGTGACAGTTTTCCTCTAGGAAGCAGGGAGAGTTGCTTTTTCCTTCCCCAATGCCATGCTTAGGCCTTTATTCTACCAACATCCATCAGCTTCTACTCTGCCAGGCCCTGAGCCAGACTAATTCAAAGACTTAGAAAAATGAACCAATTCCTTAAAAGACACTACCAAAATTCACTCAAAAAATAGATAATCTGAATTGTCCTACATCTATTAAAGAAGTTGAATTCATAGTTAAAAACCTTTCAGCAAAGAAATCTTCAGACTCATAAGGCTCATTGTAGAATTGTACCAAATATTTAAGCAAGAAATAATACCAATTCTACACACACTTTTCAGACTAAAGAAGAAGAGGGAATACTTCCCAGCTCATTTTTTAATGCCAGCATTACATTAATACCAAAACTAGACAAAATAATTATTTAAAAAAAAACATAATACATTATGACCAAGTGGGTATATGCAAGGCTGGTTCAAAAGTGGAAAAATCAAACAATTGATTTACTGTATTAACCAAATAAAAGGAAAAATCATGTGATCATCTCAATAGATGCAGAAAATTCAACATCCATTCATGGCTAAAAAACAAAACACCTCTCAGGAAACTAGGAATTAAAGGGAACTTCCTCAATCTTATAAAGGGCATTTAAAAAAAAAAAAAAACCTACAGCCAACATCATAGTTATTAGTGAAAGATGGAATGTTTTCCTTTAGAACTGGGAGCAAGGCAAGGATGTCCACTCTCATCATTTCTTTTCATCATTGTTCTGGACATCCTAGCCAGTGCAATAACACAGGAAAAATAAATCTATGCAGATTGGAAAACATAAATGGAAACTGCATCTATTCGCAGCATTATTTCTACATAGAAAATACCGGGAGATCTGCAAAAAATAAGCTTTTAGAAATGAATAAGTGAATTTAGCAAAGTCTTGGAATACAAGATCAAGATACAAAAATTGTATTCCTGTATATTACCAAACACCTGGAGTTCAAAAATTTAAACAGTATCATTTATAATAGCATCAAAAAATAAATATTTAGGTATTAATCTAACAAAATATATGCAGGATCTATATGCTGTAAACTACAAAGCACTGTAAAAGAAATCAAAAACAACCTAAATAAATGGAGGGATATACTTAGTCCTCAATTGGAAGACTCAAGATGTCAGTTCTCCCTGAACTGATCTACTGATTCAACAAAGTCCAAATCAAAACCCAGGAGAATTTTTCTGTAGATAACAAGCAACTGATTCTAAAACTTATACTGAAAGGCAAAGAAACTACACTAGTCCAAACAATTTTGAAAAGAACAACAAAGTTGGACTTATACCTCCTGATTTCAAGAGTTACTGTCAAGCTACAGTCATCAAGATAGCATGGTATTGGCAAAAAATAGGAAGATCAATAGAAATTGACCCATAAAAATATGATCAATTGATTTTTTACAAAGGTGCAGAGGCTATTTAATGAAAAAAAGATGATCTTTTTTTGACAAATGGTGCTAGAACAATTACATACCTAAATGTAAACAAAATAAACCTTGACCCATTCTTCACACCTTAAACAAAAATTCATTCCAAATAGATTATAGACCTAAATGTAAAACATAAAACTATAACACTTCTAGAAGAAAACAGGAAAAACAATTGTGCTCTTGGATTGGGCGAAGAATTCTCAAATACAACACCAAAAGTACAATCTATAGGAGTGAAAATTAACAATTTATACTTCATCAAAATTTAAAACTTCTGCTCTGCAAAAGACACTGCTAAAAGAATGAAAAAACAAACAAAATATTTGCAAATCACATATCTAACAAAGGACTTGTATTCAGAATATGCACAGAACTGTCAAAACTCAACCAGAAGAAAACAAACACTCCAATAAAAATATGGGCAAAAGATTTAAAATTATTTTACCATATTAGATATATGAATGGCAAATAGCACATGAAAAGATACTCAATAGCATTAATCGTTAGGGAAATGCATATTAAAACCACATAAGTGTAGAGATACCACTACACACTTATTAGAATAACTTTTTTTTAAATGACAATACCAACTGCTGCCAAGGATGCAACTAGAACTCTAAGACATTGATGGCAGAGGTACAAAAAGGTAGGACCATTTATGAAAAGAGTTTGGAAGTTTCTTATAAAGTTAGACAGACACTATCATATAACCAAGTAATCTCATTCCTAGATATTTTACCCAAGTGAAATGAAGACTGTGTTCACACAAAACTCTGTATTTGAATATTTATATAGCTTAATAATTGCCAAACAGTGGAAACAAACCTAATACATTTAAATTGATGGATGGATAAACAAACTGGTACCACCATACAGTGAAATACTATTCAGCAATAAAAAGAACAAGTTAGTAATACACACAACACTTGTGTGAATTTAGACATTATGGTGAAATAAATCAATCTCAAAATGTTCCATACTATGATTCCATTTATATGACATTCTGGAAAATGCAAAACTATAGGAATGGAAAAAAGATCAGTGATTGCCAGGGATTGTGGGTGAGAAGAAGGGTTGACTACAAACGAAGACCATTAGGACATTTTTTGAGGTGATGGAACTTTTTTTCTTGATTGTGGTTGTGCTTGTCAAAACTCATAGGACTGTATACTAAAAAGAATGAACTTTATTGTATATGCAAATTAAATAATTTTTTAAAAGAAAGAAGTAGAGCTCCTGTACATAAGACATTTTACACTTTGAATTATTTATTCATTTCACCGCATCTCCTATACTAAAAGCTCCAAGAGGGCCATACTTTATCCTCAACACTAAGAATTTCTAGACCAGACATATAGCTACCCTTTTCTTCTTAACTGCTCTGAGAGCTCATGTAAGAGATCCTGGGCCAACCTCCTCAAGGATTAAAGACCATGTGAAGAGAGTGCTTCAGCCAGACCCAGCTGAGTACCAACAGCTGATGTATGAATGAGGCCCACTTGGACCATCCAGCCCCAGTCAAGCTACCCAGTCATGTAAGTGAGACTAGCAGAAGAACTGCCCAACTGAATCCAATCTAAATTGATGAGGCACAGAATTGTGAGCAAATAAAATGGTTGTTGATTTAATCACCATGTTTTGGGAGTGGTTTGTTACATAGCACTAGATAACTGACACAATATCATCCATGGAGGAGACAAATTATATTGCATTCCCCTCCCCCCTAAATTTTTTTTTCATTTTAGAGATGTTACAGGAAATCCTTTGGTCTCTGGAAAAAAAAAAAAAAAACAGGCTTATATTAATAGCTCATTCCAAGAGATTTCTATTAGATGGTATTTTCCCACATAAAGCCCAGGTAATGTATTAGGCTGGCCATATCTATAGTAATGTGTTCATCCCTTGTGGGTTATATTTTACGAGGGATGTTCAGAAATTAGTGTACAGAGAAGGTCAAAGATGAGAGTGAGAGGGCTGAAGGAACCAATAGTTTATAGATGACAGAGAGAGACTAAGTGGGGACATTGTGGCTGTTTTTAAATATTGGATGGGCTTTTTAAAAGCCTGTGTTGCTTTAAAGCCAGATTGGGTTAATATGTAGAAGTTAAAGGAAGAAATGTTTCCATTGGGTTAATAGGTAGAAGTTAAAGAAAGAAATGTTTCGGACTCTATATTAAGGAATAATTCTTTGAGAGCTGACCAAACGTGAACTTGGCTGCCTCAAAAATAAATGGGGTATGGCTATCACTGGAAATTTTCAAACAAGCTGAATGGTCACGTCTTCGAGATGTTTTCTATACTGAGTGTGCAGGTGATTCCTATGCAGAGTGAGACACTGTACTGGATAATTTTCTAAAGTTCCTTCAGACTCTGGGTTTTTAAAAATCATTTGGCATCACAAGATTTATAGCCATGTTTTAAAACTTGGACTTTTAAGCTTGCTGTTCTTTTAGTTAGTGAGACTTTCTAGGTATGCCCTGATGCAGATAGCCAAAATTGTTTTTCCTCATAATCTGTAGGAACAGGGACTTGTTTTGACAACTCAATCTAAATAAGCTGGAGATATTTTATCTCTCCTGCTTACAACTTGTCATGTGACCATGTGTACCAGGGATTGTTTCAAAGGATGAAGAGAAACTATCACATCCAGCCTGCCCTGCTCTGCCAAAAACTGGACTGGGAACAGGGCCAGCCTCATGGTCATGTGAACTGTGCAGTTGCACAGGGCATGCTTGGTTTAATGGTCTGCTATCACTTGTTTTGAAATTCTTAATAATTTATGAACAAGGGCCCCACAAATTCTGTAGCCAGTCCTGACTACAACTTTTATCTGTAGTTCCTCACTACCCACTCACTCCTTGTTACCTTGCACTCTTGACTTCTGCCTTTATGGTGGAATAAGACCTCTGTCTCGAGTCATCTACTGCCTTGTGGCCAATTCCCATACTCTCTCCTCAATCCTCATCCATTTTAATCTGTCTGGAGCATCTGACATTGTTGACAGACCACACCTTTAAATTCACTTTTTGTTTTCCATGACTCTATATCCATATGGTTTTCTTCTTATCTCTGAACTTGTTTTATAAAGCCAAGTAGAATGAGGGAATAAAGTTAATAGTCACAATACATGCCTCAGGGTTTTTCTTTCTCTAGAACGAGCCCATACTATATCCACCAGGATATATTGGTACTCCCGTATTTTCACAGGGTCAGTGACAAAATGAGGCTGAACTACCGTCCTACCTGGTTGGTATTACAAATCATACTCAGGGTTTTTTGTTGTTGTTTCGTTTTTCTTTGCTTTCTTTAATACAGCAGTAAAGTGAAGAACATACCAAGGGTTTCATCAGTTGAATATATAAATGGTCGTAAATTGCCTCGAGTCTCCTTCATGAAATAATCAATGACACTGAAAAGGTTTGGGAGTGTTACCTGTATAAAGAGAGAATGAGAGAAGGCTCAGAGTCACCTGATGGAGTAAGAGAAAGCTCAACTGAAATTTAATGGAGAATACTGTGTATTTTCTGACCTCCTGAAAATCGTGTCAATACCACACTTAAGTGGCTTACTGAATGGCCACAGATTTACTTACTCAGGCATTTTATTTCTCCTTTATAACCATATCTGATTCCCTGTTAAGGAATTATCCCTTTCCCATTGGATGCATTTTGAGGGACAATAATGAAGTACTCTGCTCTTCCCCAGTTATTGCATGAGAATGTGACAAGTTAGTCCAGAAAACGCTCCCTTCTTGAAATTTGAGCTTGAGTAGAGGAACAAGAAAGAATAGCAGATTCCTAATCAGATGGTTCTTACTACAAGTAACTGCTTCCTAGTCCTTGAAGATTTTCTGGCCTTCCAGTCATTCTGTGTGCTTCCTGTGTTCTTAAATTCATTTTTACTTAAGTAGCCATAGTTGGTTTCTTCTGCTTGAAACCTCAGAGCCATTAAAGCCAGAGAATTTAGCATTTTAGTATCTCATTGTAACAGGATAATTTATTTGGCTAGGAGTAACTGAAATGTGTTGCTGCCTCCAAAATCAATATTTTTATACAAGTAAGATCAGGTTAAGTCTGAACATCGCTGGTAACCTTGAAGAGGAAAAAGAATTTACAAAATGACAACCTGGTTGAAGGGAAGGGTTGGGGAGTGTGAAAGGTGAAAGAATAATCCAGACTGTTAGCTTTCCTTACACTGGGGACTGTTTGGGCTAATGACAGATAGATGAGCCCCAATTCACCAGTTGCAGAGGAATTTTCTTCTTCCCTGACAATTGCTTCCTGTCATTTGGTTATTTGGATTATCCTTCAGCAATCTAGTTCTCTGTTTCCTTCATTAGAATTCTTGAAAAAGCCCAGTCAGGCATGGACATGAGAACTGAGAAGCTCTGGGAAGCATTTAGGGCAAAGACGCATGTGGAGTGTATGAATCAGCAGCTGCCTTACTCTTGGCAAAGACCACTACTGCACTCTAAGGGTTATGGCCAAAACAAAAGAAATTCAACCATACAGTCCCTTTCTCTACTTGAGCAAAACAATGGGCCTGGAGAGGCAGAGGAATTAGGAGCTCAATTTTAAGAGAAGATATCATAAATATCTCCAAGACCCAATGGTTCCATTTGAGTCATATCACTTTGCTGGCCCAATCTTCCCATCACTTCAGCCTAAGCTTACAGAGCTGTATTCCCTTTTTCAGCACCCTGGGCCATAGGCCACATTACTACATTCTCATTGGTTGAGGCCAGTGTAAATACCAGTTTTCCCGCCTGTATAATAGGCATTACCTCAGGGTAATGACAAAGATTAAATTAGATGGTGTATGTAAGTACTTAATTCGGTGCCTAACATAGTGTCTACTGGTTATGATATTATATCATTAGCCCCATGATAAGTCAGTTGGGGTAGACAAGGAAGAAAATTTTCCTGACGGTTATGTTGCTATTAAGAAGGGGATTTTGGAACTTCTGCATGATGGTTATTAGCAGACTAGGCATTCACAGATCTTTTTCCCATTAGAAATAAGCACATTGAAATATTTAAAATTGGAGGTTGTAAAACAGATGCTTAACAAAAATATTTTTCGGGCAGGCCCTGTGGCACAACAGTTAAGTGCACACATTCTGCTTTGTCGGCCCTGGGTTTGCCGGTTCGGATCCCGGGTGCGGACATGGCACCACTTGGCACACCATGCTGTGGTAGGCGTCCCACATATAAAGTAGAGGAAGATGGGCACGGATGTTAGCTCAGGGCCAGCCTTCCTCAGCAAAAAGAGGAGGAGTGGCAGTAGTCAGCTCAGGGCTAATCTTCCTCAAAAAATATATATATATATATATTTTTCTCTCCCTGAAAAAAATTATATTGATAAAGATTTGCAGAGAAAGAAAAGTGGAAAGATTTGTCTCCTACTCTGCCTCATCCACCTGCTCTTGAGTCTCACTTCTCACCCTAGATATCTACCACCTCCAGGGTTCCTTAACATTGGTGGGTTTTGCCAGCACTATGTTCCTAGGCAAGGAGTCTGCTTTTCCACCTTTCTTTGTATTCTATAACGTAAGTTTGAGAGGAAGTAGAAGAAAATTCAGCAACAAGGAAATAGCTACTTACGGGTTTTTCCAGTTCAATAGTGTAGTTATTTCCTACACTCATCACTTTGTAGTGCTTGATTCTTGGCATGCTAAAATGAAAAAAATGGTTACTCTCCATATGACTATACTATTGGGTCAAATTAAACTAAAGTGAGTATAAAATATCACCTGCATAGTAAAACCTATGTTCTCCTGACTGTAGTTGGCAAAAAAACTTTGGTGGTTTTTGTTTTTCTAGTTACCTGGTTCTCTATGTCTCTTTTTGGGATGTTATATACTAGGGATATAGGAAGCCTGGGTCATTGAGTTGGGTGAATGAGGAAGAATAAGAGAAAAAAGGAATCAAAAACTGAAAGTCTTTCAGGAAGAAATTATTTTTTTAAATGCCAGTAATTTACAAAGTAGACAACATTACGAAATCCTATGTAGGCATATAAAAATCAAATGTGTATTCTCTATATTAAAAGGGAAATAGAAACAATTACTGAAAGCAAATTACTTTGTACTCCACCTCATCACTATTCCAATCAGAAAGACTTCAGTGGCTATTCTTCCTTCTAGCTCGTATACCACCTTGGGCATCTGCTAACTTCAGGGGCTGACTTGGAGATATGGGAAATGCTAGGTGTTAAAGATATGAAAAAAATAGGTGAGCATGTAAATACAGCAGATGAATCTTAATGTCTTCCTTTTATGTAGTCTCATGGCACTCTAAATTATTACTGCCCTAAACACATGGTATTTTATTGACTAGACTGCTTAAGAACAAGAAGCACATTCTATTGACCTTTCTATTCCAGCATTAGGCACACAACATTTATGAAACTGAATTTTAAAATATTAGGAGGCCATCTCATAGTGCTATTTGCTAGAACTAATTTATACTGTGGGCAGAAGTCAACATGTTTGCCTTGAATTTCCTTGATTCATATGGCAACAGAGTCAGGACAAAGACTTTTTCTACTGTTGAAAAGTTAACAGCATTTATTACACTGCCATTTGCTTGAAAAACAAACTATTTCTACACCTGTCCAATTTACAGAAGTTATCCAAAGCCAAATTGTCTATTATTTTAGGTTTGTCTACAGGGCCTCCCACCTTCTTTTTCACCAGTCCTGTCTCCTTTTCCAGGTCATGTTCCCCTAGGACTACACTACACTTCTATTCAAGGGACTTTCTCATGCATTCTTATATTCAAATCTCTCAGTTGGACATCATGTTGGAAAACAACTAATCATTTTATTCCAGCGGCTTCTTCTAGAGCTTTACTTTCAAAACATGGGATAAAACCTAACCAACCCTCTACCCTCCTAAAAAAAAACACCTATTTCTTAATGCTAAACTTTCAGAAATGAGTTACAGACTGGTGAAGGAAACATTTTAGGACAGAGGAGTTCTTACATATACCCTCCTTTGGGGTGATTGACTCTGGCATTATCTTTCTCCCTACATGAAAAGACATATATAGTCATACAGTTACTTTTGAAAACTCTCACCAATTCCAATTAGAAAGCTTGTACTCCTCGGAAATAAGTGATTATTATTCCTTGGAAGACTGATAGAAAGCTTGAAGGGTATGGCTTTTATAACCAGAAAGATCTAGGTTCAGATTTTTGTTCTGTTGTGTGAGCTCTCTGAGCCTTCATTTCTTCATGTATAAAATGGCGCTGGTAATGCCTTTCCTCACAGGGCTGTTGAGAATTAATGCTTGAAAAGTTCTTGGTACAGTGTCTGGCATATTTAGACACTCAGTAAACCATAACTGTTTTTTACTATTTTTAAAATTCGTTGTTTTAACAGATTAGTTTCTGTAAGTCTCAGCTTCTTCATTTGTAAAACATAGAAAACACTGTCTGTTTTAGTTTTTATTGTGCCTGAAGGAAATGTTTGTCAAGCACTCAACACAGCACCCACAAATGGTACCCTGTAAGCGGGGACAATGATTGTTGTTGTTAGTAACAGCCATCATATCATCATCATCATCATTCATGGCAAAGCTGTGGGAGGAAAAGTAGCAAAGATTGTCAGGGTCTCTTGGAACTTTTGACTAATGGGACTAAGCTCTGATGCAGAAAGTAAGGTAGAAAAAAATTCCATTGAAGTCACTTAGGTTTTGACTCTCATTTTAGACCTCTGTTTTGCTTTCATATTTTGTTTTGTTTTTCCAAAGGAATAAAGAGGGAGGGAAAAAATGAGACTGAGATTGATAAAATTTATCAGTTGAGGTTTCCTCATTATGACGTCAAAAAAGAAGTAACCTGTCTTTAAAAAAAAAAAATGAGTGACCTTAAACGTGGTTATAAATACTTGTTCTTTGCTTTTAACCCTAGTTTTTGTGAAGGAATGAACTTTGGGTAAATATTTTTCTACTGCTTTCTTGGCTAATGACTTTCCAAAGTGTTTATACTACTAGCTTGCCACATAGTCATAACAATTTGAAGAAAACCAAACCAAACCACGAGGTTTGTTGTAAAAATAGCTTTATGTCTTATGAATTCACACACCACTGGGCTGGGTAAAGGTGCATGATATTTTACATCAAGAGAGGAGTCACTTGATAATTTGGCATTGAATGACTTTTGCTTCTTCCTGAGAACTAGTCTTCCTCCCACAGCTGATGTGTTAACAAATGGAGATAATTTTACTTTCAAGTACTGCTTTGTAAACCAACTTGTCCTTTTCAGCTAGTGTTTTACCAGACACACCTATGGTGTGCATGGCTGAACATTTCTCCTACATCCTGTAAGAGAGTGAATTGGTTTTGTTGGTAACACAGGTGCTTCCCCATAGTCTAGATTCCTGCCAAAGTCTTCACATTAAGCTCGACAATCTAACAAGCTGAAGTTCTACTACTCTCTACAATTGCTATCCTTTAAAATTAAGTGATCTGTTAAACACAAGATAGTAAATCCAGGCATTCTAAAAGACCTGGTTTGAGGAATCAGAGAGCACATATAACAATCCTTAACATCATAGATATATCTGGCTTGTAAGAAAAATCTGTACAATAACAGTTAAAATTTTTCTAAGCCACTTCCAAGTATAAACTATTCCCCAGAGCCTAAATAAGCACTTATGGACTCCAGTGTTAGAATTCTCTAGATTGGTCCTTCTACCTTACTCATTGTTTTCTAAAGATGAACTTTGAGGGGGCAGGGAGTGATTAGTTTTATGAAATGTTACAAGGTTTTATGACCATCAGCTGTACAAAAGCATAAATTTCTATATGAATTCAAACTGGAGGTGAGTTTAATGAAATTAGAACTATGTAACTTAGATATGAACTCTTTTCCCAGACTCTTTCTTATAGGTTTAAAAATACCTTAAATACAATATAAATATAAGTAAAAACTGTGACCTTAAATGCATATCCTAAGTATAGAAACTCATTGCATTTGGTCACAAACTACACCTACAGCAGAAAAGCCTGTTATTTTTCATAGCTCACTTGTACAGGAAATGTATGCGAAAGTTGCACTAATTTGGACCACCTTAAAAGAGATCAGGCTTCTTTTGCGCAGGAAATATACAGTCTTTAAAGAGCCATTAGGTCCCTGGATTTTCATTTCATGCAGAATAGTAACACAAGGTTCACATGCAAATGGATCACTTGATCCAACCAAGAAAAAAATAGTATGAAGGAAAAAAGTTAATCACTCTCATGTGTGATCTAATTTAGCGTTCAAGCAGTTAGATTAAATTTCTTTAGAAATTAGTTAGGTTAAATTTTTTTTTCTGCTTTGTCTCCCCAAACCCCCCCTGTACACAGTTGTATATCTTAGTTGCAGGTCCTTCTAGTTGTGGGATGTGGGACGCCGCCTCAACGTGGCCAGATGAGCGGTGCCATGTCCGCGCCCAGCATCCGAACCCTGGGCCGCCACAGCAGAGCGCGTGAACCCAACCACTCGGCCACAGCGCCAGCCCCAAGGTTAAATTTTTTTTAATCTGCAAGATAAATTTTAATTCAGTTTTATGTACTCTTATTTTTTAAAGTAGTAGTAAACAGTTAAAGATATTTCGTATTTTATGTGATACTCAGTTTCCTAAACTCTAAAAAAGGACAAGCTCCTTAATGAGGTTACACTAAACAGAAAAATTCACTTTTCTCCCAGGAGTTATTCTAAGTTCACTGATATTTAATGGCAGTCATAACTTTTGTTTCTTTTGGATTTGTTTCAAGATAGCCAATTAAGTTATAAATCAAACAAGTTAAAACTGAGTAATCTATGATAACACAGAACCAGGATCTGATTTACCATCACATTCTTGCCATCCATTCAGTGCACATAGCAAGTATACAAAGACAAGTCTCTGTTTATATAGAGTATTTGGCAAGTGAATGAAACTTATTGGGCCATGGCTCATACTGGCACTGCAGCCATAATGCCATAATTTTAGTCTTGTCATGTAAGTGACTGTTTTCTTTTTACTGCCTTTCTCCACTGTCAAAATCTTCATATTTAATCTATTTAGAATTGTTGATATTTATGGTGGACTGGTAGATAGATTCATTGATAGATATGTTTGGTTTTTTGGGGATTTTTTGAGGAAAACTAGCCCTGAGCTAACATCCATGCCCACCTTCCTCTACGTTATATGTGGGATGCCTGCCACAGCATGGCGTGCCAAGCGGTGCCATGTCCACACCCGGGATCCGAACCAGTGAACCCAGGGCTGCCAAAGCAGAACAAGCACACTTAACCGCTGCACCTCGGGGCTGGCCCAATAGATGTGTTATAGCTAAAAAAATTAATAGAAAATTTTCCCTGAGAAAGAATGGCAAATTCTAGAGTCAAAGTTTTGTTTACGCTTTTATATGAAAAATGATCATTGGTTGAATATTTTCATTTAGGACAAAAAAATCTCTTTTAATTATATTATCAGTTGTGAAAGTGTTAACTCATCCAGAGTCCCTGTTGAAACGCAAGTTGTCACGGACTCTGAGAGCTGCAGTGGACCTTAAAAGATCGAATAACCCTAGCTACACAGAGAAATCAACTTTCGCATATAAGAGTTACTGACTTTGTATCAAAGGTAAACCATTTTACCAGAAAGAAATCATTAACTTTGACAAGAGGCTCCTAAGTTGTCCTTTGTATAGATAAATCAGATTATGTCACTTCTCTATTCATCACAGTCCAGTGACTTCTCATGTCATTCAGAGTATAACCTTTGTCTCTACAATGAGCTGTAGGGCTTAGAGTGACCAGTCCCTCCCCCCACCTCTGGAATCTCATCTCCTACAATTTTCTCCTTGTTCACTCCGTTGTAGTCACAGCGGCCTCTTTTTATTTTTGAACAAACCAAGCATTCTCCTGCCTCTGGGCATATGCACTTGCTGCCTGGAATGTTCTTGTCCCAGATATTGGCATGTTTTGTTCCCTCACTTCCTTCATATCTCTGCTTAAATGTCAGTTAATAAAGTAGGCCTTCCTTGACCACTCTATATTAAAACAACAGGAGCAACCAGAAAAATTCTCTCTCTATATCACCACTGAGTGTTCCCATTTCCCCTATCCTGCTTTATTTTACTTCCATAGACATTGTTACCATATATGACATTTTCAGTTATGTATTTATTTATAGTCTGTGTCTCCTTACAAGAACGTAAACTCCTTAAACCAGGGATATTGTTTTGTTCGTTGCTGTATCCTCAGTACCCAGAATATTACTTGGCCCATAGTAGTTGCTCAATACATATTTATTGAAATGAATGAATGAACAATGGAACTATATCCAGGACCAAAGTAATTTGCTCATTCTTCTCTCCTACTGCAAATATTAGCCTTGGCTCAGTCTTTAGCATTGCTTATATAACATTCCCTCCTTATTCTTGCTTTCGTATTTTTAGCTCCAACAAACACATAGCAGGCACTAATCTGAACTTATGTGACTTTGCTTTCTAAAGTGATATCATGCTTTTAACTATTCCATACATTTTTTAGTTAAACGTACTCTATCTCCTGCCGGATAGTGATGGAGTAGTTTCTACTGTCACTACCAGGCCTCAGGATCATATTTCCCAAAGAAGGGTTCTTCTCAAGCATCTCAGTTGCTTCTTTCCGGGATACTGTATAGAAACATCTACAAAGGTGAAATTAAAAAAAACAGATTTTTTTTTAACTGGTGAAGATGATTACTTGAAAAAAAATGCTGCTAAAATAAGTCGAAGACCTGTAGTTATTAACTTTTCTTTAAATTTCTAGCTTTATTATTACAATTTCAATGATATAATTACAATTACTATTATTACACCTGTGCCACTATGAGTATGCTTATGCTTAAGGCCCTCTTTCCCTTATCCCTTCAAAGCCTCTTTCTTTAACCAAAGAGGACCTGAAAAGTTATCTATTGATCAGTATATAATCACCAATACCACTTGAAAATCTAAGACAAGAATTAACAATGTATCCCCAGGCTCAGTTTATAATAGGATCTTGGATAAATAATATTTGTTAGTGGTTTCTTTTCAGGGCTACAAAACGTCTCTATACATGCTTCTCTTGTATAGTCTCTGTTCTAAATAACTGATATTTAAGGATATGTCACTGAACTCACTCCTTTTGGTATCATATGGCTTTCTAATGGCCCTGGTGACATTTTTATGTGTAAAATTTTTAAAGCACCTCTCATTTTTATAGTCAATATTGCAGTCAATGAAAAGTCTACTTTTTCAACAGAAAAAACTCTGGCAGGATATGCAATACACCAAAATGTTAATAGCAAATATCTCTGAGTAGTGGGACAAGGAATGATTTTAATCTTCCTTTTATTTATCTTTATAAACATATATTACTTTTTTTAATGATAAAAAAAGAAAAAGAAGTCTATGGGACTTTTAACCTATTAGTCCATCAGTTGTCACTAGTTTCAGCCAAGAGTGACGGTTGGGTTTCATCGATTGTAATACAGACAGAATATGCACCAGAACCCGATGTCAAAGATGGTACCAGGACAAGTTTCACTGACAAGAAGACTAGATCCCTGGAGGAAAGGGCTCACAATCTTAGTTGCACTTTTCAACGATATAAGGGTAAAAAATAAATGTAAGATTTTGCTAAATTCAGCATGTTCTTTGACTCTTCATTTTCCCAACAACACCTTACATACTTTACTCAGGGCCTTCCTCAAAGTACAAGTTCAATGACTACTCACTGATTGACTGGACAATTGAACAGAACATTCAGGGATTTTAAATTCTTTAGTATAATTTTCTGATAGAAAATCAGTCAATCATAGAGGTGCATGGTGAAAAAAATATCTTTTCCTTCCTTCTACATAGCAGTTTTTATTTAGGTTGAGCTTTGGAAAGAATATCTATTTGGTCTAAAGGTGTGGGTGGAAGGGGATTTCCCGTGTGGTATGAGGGTTGGTTCAAATCTGCATTTTGCATTTTGTTGATCATGACATGGAAGAGGAAATGTGGCACATATTCAGAGATATACTGTTTATCCACAAGACGGCTTATTGTCCCTGGTTTAATGAGGTCAATGACTAACTCTTCTTGGATAATTAGAAGATGATATTAAAATCTAATAAATAAACTGGAGTACTGGGTGCACTTACGCTGGCATAGGGGTCAGTACATCCACATAATCTTCGATTGGTTCCTTCTCTTTTTCCGTAGATGAACTTGGTATCCGCTCTGTCTCAATCCTCCTTTTCTTTTCTCTCTCTAGCACTTCATGCAGTCTAATTACTTGCCCAGGAAGGAGTGACACATGTAGGGGAACTGACAGCTGAAACCAATTAAAGCAGTAGGAAAACAAGAAGGACAGCAGAAGAACTGATTTTAGCAAAGATGAGCTGATTCTAGGAGCTTCAGTTACCCTACAGAGATGGATGGGTAGAATCATGCATAGAGGATCTTGATGTTTTAGAATTGCCTCTAAACGAAATTGAACCTGCACAGGGTGCCCCATCTTCTTCCAAGAAATGTTCCTTTTGGTCTGGCCCCAAACAATGTATACCCACCTTGCACTACAAGCTAATTCAAGTAAGAACAACTCTCTCTCTCCTTTTTCATTCTGAGCTCACTATTTCTCCCTGCCGGCAAGTCCCAGAGGACCTGCAAGCTGCCTACCTAGCTATCCCACAGGTAATCTGGAATAAACTCCACCAGCCATATGGCAGCATGGGGTTGAGATGGAACTATTCATCAAATGACTGAGAATCAGCAATCAAAGGTCTATATTTTGGTGTGTTTGTGTGTATATTTCAAACTTTCATTCACACATTAGGATTATGATACTGCTCTGCTTAGTTTTCCTTTTAGCCTTGTCTAGAGATATGTTTCGGGTTGAGTCACCTATATCCTGCTGATCTATATTCATACCACTAACTTAGACCTCATTATGACCAGTTATGTGCTCTTGGAAGGTATAATCTGAATGGTAGAATATTTTTCTTTAGATGACACTACCTAGTCTGTATTTTGAAGCAGACATGTCCAATTATCATCTTGATCTCCAGAATGGGGTCCATGCTTTCCAAGGGGTGTATAAGAAAGTCCCTTGAAGTGTGGGAAGAAAACACTAGAATTTCATTTTCTATTTACACATCACCTTATTAATTCCTATTGCTTTTTATATTTTATAACGTACGTGTGTGTATATATATATATATGAAATTTGAAATAAAAACTTACTGATAAGAGTACACAATCAAAAAGGTTTAGAGACTATTCTTCTGGTTAACTAAGCTAACTAATAATCAGTAAGTCTATTCCTTATATACCAATCCAGAAAAAAATAAAAGAAAGAGGAAAAACTACTCCTTATTAATTGCCTATCTGTTACAAGCATTATGCATTGCAAATCCTCACAGCAATGCTACAAGATAGGTATTTTGTTCCTTACTTTAGAAATGAAAAAAACAGGCTCAGAAAAATTAAATAACTAGTCCAGTGTCACATAGCTAGGAAGCTGTGGGACCAGGACTCAAACTTCAGTTTATTCAATTCAAAAGTAACGTCTCTGCTCTTTCAACTACAGTCTGTGTTTTTCAAACTTCTGCTAAAGCTCTCCTAATAACAGCACAATGTGAATGCATATACACAGAGTAATCTGAGAACATACTAAAAAACAACATTTGTAGAGCACGAAATTTGAAGCAACTTGTCTTGTTGGAAATTCACATTAATTTTATTTTATAGTCTGTAATGTACCTATGTACATTTTAAAATAAAAATAATGCTTTTTATCCTTCCTTCAAGGAAAAAAAAATATAAACAATTTTTTTGTCCAAAATTCCAAGTACAATTAGTGTACTAGGGAGATGCACCCCAAAGTTTTTCCAGTGGTTTTAGTATACTCCTTGACACCTAATCACATACCCTTGGGATGCTTGTACCCCAATATAAGAAGTGCCATGCCACACAGTGATGCCTTTTCACAACAGAGGGAGAGACTCCCATGCCTCAAAGAGTATCTCCCCACCACCCCCCGACTCAACATATCTTTCACATCTTTAACTGGCCCACTTTTCTAGCCTCCTATGACTTCCCTACATGGTAGTTGAAACTTCAACTTTTACCTATTATTGGCTGAGATAAAGAACCAGCATCCATCATCTCAGTAAAATGCAGTGCTTATTTTGTGTGACTGCAAAGCCTTTACTTCGGAACTAGCTTTGGATAGAGTCTCAATTTAACTGACCCTAATCAATACAGGAAGTTTTCTTTCCTCTAAAAGTATTAGAGAACATGGTGCTCTTTGGGGGGCTAGTTGTTAAAGTACCTCATGTTCCTAAGACAGTTGCTACAGTGGCTTTATTTAAAATAATGCTAGTTATCTTGCTGCAACAGTTAACTATAGGCAGTAGATCTTATTATTTGTCTCAGATAAGATGCCACAGAGTTTAATAGATAAGCATCCCTTTAGTGACGTCTTAAGACTCACTAAACAAATGTTTAAAGGTGGTTTTTCATTTTGATGGTCTCTCCCTGTTATATTACCTATGTTGTTCATAAAATTCATCTCAGCATTTTACAAATATGTATTAAATGAATAAGAAAGGAATTGGAGGGTGGGCCCAGTGGCATAGCGGTTAAGTTCATGCACTCTGCTTTGGTGGCCCTGGGTTCATTGGTTCAGATCCTGGACGCAGACGTAGAACCACTCATCAAGGCACACTGTGGCAGCATCCCACATAAAACAGAGGAAGATTGGCACAAATGTTAGCTCAGCAACAATCTTCCTCAAGCAAAAAGAGGAAAATTGGCAATAGATGTTAGCACAGGGCCAATCTTCTTCACAAAAAAAAAGAAGAAAGAAAGGAATTGGGAAGTATTTTAGAAGATGCTATGTAAGCTACAAATATCAGAATACACAAAGGATCACTGTGTCAAAAGGATATGACCAAAAAGTAGATTTCCCTGTTATTCACTAGCTGGCACACTACCCTGTATATTTTCTCATAACAACTATCACGATTTAAAGTTATCTCATTTATTTACTTGTTTATTTTCTTTCTCCTTCTCCATCCACCAAAAAATATGCAAATTTCATGAGTAAGTGTAAAGGTTTCTATCTGTCCTTTTCAATTGCTATATCTTCAACCCCTTTCACTCTGCATAGTTTTTTTAGCAAGTGTTCAGTAAATATTTGTTGAATGAGTGAATGAATCAAAAGTAATGTCCTTCCTACCTCTGTTACTGTAAGAATGAAGCCTCTCCATTCTTGCCCACTTTCTGTGTTCTCTGTCTAAAGATGAAGACAAAAACAGACAAGGAAGAAAAGACACGAATGACCATGAACATTAATACTTTTGTTAATTTCAAATAACTTTAGAATTTCATGATTGTTTTGTAAGACTCAAAATAAGTAAACCATCAAAACCAGCAAGATTGGCAAAATGCTTATTATCCTATTGAAGCACATTATTTCAAAAAGTCAATTGTAATTCTGTAAACCACTTAAAATCAGTTGAAAGGAAGAAACAACTCGTTTTCCTTCCTGCTCAGAAGCACTCATGTGTATTTGCTATGAAATGTTTCAATACTATTCTCTTTTGTCAGAACGTAGAAGTATATAGCTTTAATCTGTTTGCTTACTAAACAAGTAAAAGTGTACAATTTACTTAACTCAAAAAAATTTACATGTTAGCACACTTTTTTCTGCAGTATGTCAATTCATGGTTAGTCCTCCCATTGGTGTTCAACGGTGACTGGCTTTCAGTTTGGGGCAACTAGGTAGCACCAATGTAGTTCTTGGAAACTTCCAATTCTTAGCTCTAAATGTGACTAACACAGAGAACCTTTAGTAAGTGCTTATAAGTGGCAGCTACTATTCTGAGAACTTCACAGGTATTAACTGATTTAATCTTCATAGCCACCATGCAAAAGGTACTATTATTATTTTATATTTTACAGATTTATCCATTTAACAGATATTGATCGAGTGCCTTTTAGTGCTAGGCACTATTCTAGCTACTGGTTTACATCAGACAACAAAACAAAAATCCTTTTTCTTGTGGAGTTTAGGATCTAGCAAGGGACAATAAATAATAAATGTAATAGTGACTAAGTTTTACAGTGTCAGAAGGAAATAAGTGGAAAAATAAAATGTAGAGCAGGCTAAAAGAGACTGGAAATGGTGTCAGGGGAAAGGAAAAGAGTTGCGATTTTAATAAAGCAGTCCAAGTAGCCCTCAGTCAGAGGGTTACGTCTAAGCAGAGACTTACTTCCAGGTGAAGAAACCAACGCACAAAGAGGTTAAGCAACTTGCCTACGCTCACACTTCTAACAAATAAGACAGCCAGAATTCAAACCTAGACATCTGACCCCAATCCTGTGTCCTTAACCGCCAAGTCAGAATCAACCGGGGAGCTTGCTTAAAACGTAGGTCCTGGGGCCCTCGTTTAGAGGTGAGGCCTGGATTTCCTAATTACAAGCGATTCCTGATTCACTAAAGCGTAAGGAACAGTGCGTTCAAGGTCAGCCTCAACTACATCTTATTCAATTGCAAGTTGTTCTCTTTAAAACTGTAGTTGTTGGTTGTCTTCGATTGACTCACTTTGAATGCCAATTCAAGAACAACTTGTTTTTCTATACAGGTGTTGGGCATAAGTAGTAAGTTTAACAAAGAAATCTGCCCTTGTGGAGTTTAGAGTCTTACGAGATTTTTTTCTTTGTATATCTAAAATGCCTATATTTTTATTTTTTTCTATTTTTTTAGTGAAGTATAATTGACATACAATATTATGTCAGTTTCAGATGTACAACATAGTGATTCAACATTTATATATGTTATGAAATGAGTTTTATGAGATTAACACCATATTTCACAAATTGAATATATCTAATATACAGTTCGTGTTCAAATTTTTCTAATTGTCTCAATAATGTTCTTTATGTGATTTTTTTTTCCTTTTCTGATCCAGGATCCAATCCAGATCACACATTGCATTTAGTCATCACGACACTCTAGTCTCCATAATTGGGAACAGGCGTCCAGTCTTTCTTTGGCGTTTCTTACACTGCTATTCTTGAAGGATATAGACCAATTTCTTTGCAGAATGTCTCTCAATTTGTGAAATACGGGTTTGTCTAATTCAATGTTTCCAAACGTGGATGATGTTGGACACGTCTCAGAATCATCTGGGAACGTGTAAATGCCAAGTTCTTGAATGCAGACTCAAAAACAACTTTGAAAAAACACCAGGTGGGATCTTTGACTTTGCCAGAGGACAGAAGTATATGATGTCAAAGTGCTTGTATACTAAACAAGTGAATGTGCGTTTTTAAAATCCCTGTTTAGAAAACTGTAACTCTTGGCAAAAGGCAAGGAGTATTAACAAAGCCTAAGACTTGGCAGTCCTTTTATAATACCTCTTTACTTCAGCCACTGGGTTGTGAAGGGGTGAAAGCTATTTATACCCACAACTTGTTTCAGACTAATTGCTTCTCTTCACTCACCTTCAGTTGCACTTCCTCTTTTGGCAAAACAAGGGTAAATTTTGCACAATTCTTTTCAGTTGAATTCTGGTCAGTAAGGCGTGTAAGGTCTATTATGTCTAACTTGTCAACATACTGCAAAGATAAAGGGAAATCTCATTAAATTATTTCATGGGCAACATGCATTAATTTTAGTAGAAAGGAACGTATGCAATAGCTTCCTTTCAACTGATTTGTACTTTGCATGATATCCTGGTTTTTAGATGGGCGTGGGACCCCTTCCCAACCTACAGGGCATTTGGAAATGTGTCATGTGGTGGTGTGCTGGACCTGGCTCATACAGGTTTACAAAAGCCAATTGTTAAAATTTCAGGAATTTTGCAAGCCAGTTGGTAAACACAGCCCTTATTAAAAATTAAATTATATACACCTACAAGTAAATAAATGATATTAACAACAAAGGTAATTAAAACTCAAAACTCATCATTTTCTAATTATATTACTACATAGTATTCTCTATGCTTTAAGGTTATTTACATCTTCATTTCTGTGTGGTGGAATATTATATAATGGTGCGCTGCTGTACCTTTTCCCAACTCCGTAATCAGTGAGGTCACATTGATAGGTTGAAATCAGCCATCGTGTGAGTACTTACATCATGGAACCCGGCAAACTTTACAAATTAGGGCTTGATTTATTTTGTTAACTGTCTCAAGGGTGAGCAATTTTTTTATTCAAAGGCCAAAGTATAAATGTTTTAGGTTTTATGGACCCCATACAGTCTCTGTTGCAAATTCTTTTTCTTCTTTACAACACTTTTTAAGTATAAAAACATTCTTAGCTCATAGACTGTACAAAATCAGGCCACAGGCTAGATTTGGCTCAAGGGTCATGGTTTGCTGCCCTCTGGTCTAGACTTAAGAAAATGAAGGAGAAAGTGTTAATAATGCAGATGAAACTTTAAAATTTGTCGTGTCTGAAGCATTTTCCTTGTGAACAGGACAAAAAAATTGACAAAATATTCTATAATTCAAAAACTATTATCTCATTCAGCAAAGAGGTTGCTCATGTTATTGACAAATTTTAGGTAAAGTTCTGACATACATAATTGTTGTTTTTCTCTCCTCTTAGTCATTAATGTGAACAAAAATATCAGCCAACATTCATGTCAAATGTCATATTTAATGACAATAAATTTATTAGGGAAACAGCAGATTGGAAAATGACTCCATTTGTCAAATCATTATTGAATTGAAATCAGAGTTGGCTACGGATGCAAATTCAGAAAAATCAATAAAAGCATTCTGTACGAATCAATTACCTATATGGAAATTACAATAACAGTATTGTATATTTTATTTTTTTAACTGTGTGCTACACATTCTTTATATCTGTAATATTTACAATAAGTTTATATATATATTAATACACACATTTTTTTTTCCCAGAAAGCTGTTATTCAACATTTACCAAATACCACTGGTTATGAGGATCCTATTAAGAAATTCCTGTCTTGGGGCCCGCCCGGTGGCACAGTGGTTAAGTTCACATGTTCTGCTTCTTGGCAGACTGGAGTTCACCCATTCGGATCCCGGGTACGGACATGCCACCGCTTGGCAAAAGGCATGCTGTGATAGGCGTCCCACGGATAAAGTAGAGGAAGATGGGCATGGATGTTAGCTCAGGGCCAGTCTTCCTCAGCAAAAAGAGGAGGATTGGCAGTAGTTAGCTCAGGGCTAATCTTCCACACACACACAAAAAAGAAATTCCTGTCTTATCCCAGTACAATAAAAATATTTCTTCTGAGCAATTGGTCTATACGGACTGCTCTGTGATTAGGATCACCTCTAGTAAGTATAGCAGGGTTTTTATGGTATAATTTTTTGCTAAATGAGCCTCATTCTTGACGTGTTTTCATCTCCTTTTATTTTCCTCTCGGTTAAACCCAGTATAACTTATTTCACTTTATTTTTGTAAGTCTCCTCATTGTATTTTTCTGAAGAAGGTAGGACATAAAAATAAGTAAATAAATTTTTTTTCCAGAACTATTCCTAAATTGATGAGATTAAGGGTAAGTTTGAGTTGATCCATTTATTTTCAATGAACAAAGAAAAATTAAAAATGGAAGGAGAGGCATAAGGGAAGGAGGACAGAATTTAAAATTACACAAGAATCTTTTTCTGATGGGTTGTCCAGATCAAGCTCAGTGAATTTTGCTGAGACAAAGGAGGAAGCAAAAGAGGAAGAAGTGGCCGGGTTAGATAGAGTGCTGCAAGCTGATCTATTGATTAGAAGAAAGGAAGTCATATCTTTTTGTTTTTAATTGTAATGTTCAAAAGAGCCTTAAAGGCCATCTGTATTATCTAGCTGCCATCTAATGCTTGAATCTCCCTGGGGCATCTCTCCATGTAGTCATCCAGCCTACATTTGAACGTCTTGAACAACGTGGAACTCATGCCTTCTATGCAACTCTGCCTGCTAGCGAGTTTTTTTCCTTGTATTAAGGCACAGTTTTTCTCCAAGTGATTTCCATCCATTGGTCCTAGTCCCTTTTCTCTGGATAACAGTAAATAAATTCAGTGACTTTTTCACATGACCTCCTGACAGCCTTTAAAATATTTAAAGGCAGCTTTAAATTCTCCCCTACTATAGGCTGAAAATCTACAGTTTCTACCTGTTCTATCCCTGTACTTTTTCCTGAGACTATCACTCAAAAAATTTCCTAAAAAGTCTGCATCCTCTTTGAACAAAATCGGTAGATGAGCAATTCTTCAGCATTTCATTACAACAATCTCTTCTCAGCATAGTGGCTAAGAATGTCGACTCAGGAGCAAAGACCTGAATTGCACTCCTTTCATTAGCTGTCTGATCTTGTACAATTTCTTAATCTTTAAACTTGAATACTCTCATCTATAAAATGGGGATTAAAATAGTACCCACTCTGCAGAGTTGTTGTAAGAATTAAATGAGATAATGCATGTAAAATGCTTGACTATTATGTGACAGCTACACTCTTAAGTCCTTGCAATCACCATCTCATTTAATCCTTTTGATAACTTTATAAAATGGGCTACTGTTTTTATCCTAATTTCAGAGATTTGAAACTGAGTGTGTTGAAGATCTTTCATTTGCTCCTCTAGATTCACTTTTATCCCTTCACCACCCGACACAGTGAGCCAGAAGGGAGACCTGTATGGACAACATCAAGGGCTCCCTTGCCCTCTTTCTGTTGGGTTGGACTGCTGGTGAACACTGGCAGGAGATCAGAAGAGTGAGTAGAGTGAGATTAGGTATTTATTACCTTACACAATTGTTTCCTCAAAGATCATATTCCTGCTAAGCCAGTCATCATCACACAAGTCTCCCTACCATTCTCTCAGTCTTTCCTTTACTCCACGGCATGGTAATGGGGCAGTGTTACTAGCCTCAACCTTCTGCGCTATCTTTTGTGGTTTTCCTACATCCTGTTCACTGCTTTGAATATAGCATCCTCATTAAACTCTGTTTGAATTGCCCAATTTGAGATGTCATCTGTTTCTTACCAGTTCCCTGTCTGATACACTGAGACTCAGAGAGGTTAGGTAAGTTGTCCAAGATCCCAAGATGGCACAGGATAGAAACCCAGGTAGTTTACCTCAAGACCAGGCTCTCATTCACTAAGCTGTACTGCCTCTTGCCACATAGTAAGTGAGCAATAACTATTAACTGTCTCATTTATGTGTATTACACAAGGTTTAAGCCAGGGTCTTTTATATTTTTACTGACATCAGTGGGAAGTTGGAAGGCACAACATAGAAATTAGTTTTGTTAAAATTTGTTATGGTATTTGACAACACCGTTATATAAATCTTGTGTATCCAAAACTCTGGTGAAAGATGACTGTTTTAAGTTTGTTTTTCATTTGTTGTTTAAAATAACTTCTGGTTAGTTTACCACTAATGGCGCTGGAATACCTACAGGTGGAATACATTACATAGGCTCTTTGCCCGTTTCTTTCATTAGATCTGGACATGTAATAATGATATTCTAAAAAGTGTGAGCTACTAAATCCATGGTCCAAAATGTTGATATTTAAGCAAGTTACTGGATCATAAAATGTCTTATAAGCATAGCATTCCAAAGTAGGCAAGCATTTGCCACTAAAATACTACACTTTGTTTACAGAAAAAATCAAATACACAATCAATTTTCAAATTTTTGTGGAAAAATTAAAATATAAATTATTTGAAAGCAATAAGAATAAATAAATCCCAGAATCTCTTTGTTGTTATTCTCATGCTTCAGCTCTTAGGAATCCTGTTTCATAGGGGATGTTTTTGTCTTTCTAGAAAAATTATTTTGTGGCATAGCGTATGTTATGAGGCTTTGAAGACCATCTAGTTCCTTTCAGATTAGAACTGCATGCTACGGCAACATAAAAAGTGGGGAAAATTAAGGCTATCACTTGTTTTAGGCAGTTTGTATCCAGATGTCTAGCTAAAATTTTCACTTTTCAACTAAGTTTTTATTATCAGGATCAGAAAGAAAAGAATGCAAAGTTAAAAATATGAGTTAATGCTATCTTCTGAGTTGCCCAGGAAATTTTACCATGGGTCTTATAATTGATAGCCTTCACAGATCTAAGTGTTCTTATTTGAATTGGTTTTACTAGAACATCCTTATTCTTGGAAGACATAAAATCCCAAATGTATAATGAACTATATGACAAGTGGATATTGGGAAAACTTGGAATCAGCTGAACGTGTTTAATTACTTACTATTGTATTTTTTTTGTCGATATAAAAGAAAAGTGTGGTTCCTCTCAATTCTGTCCAATAACGTTTATACTCCTGTGGGAAAGAAATCATAAGCATTATTCATTAGTGAATATCCAACTATTTTCCTATTGATATCTTCCTTTGTAACTTTCTTAATTGCTTTGTGATATAAGGTTCTTCTTTATCCTGCGATAAATCACCTAGTTTTTATGACTTAATTTTACATTTAATTCTTGATTAAATCCTTCACAAATTTATTTTAGCATAAGGTGTGAAGTCAGGATGTAATTTGACTTGTGTTTAAATGGATCATTTTCCAAAACTTTCCTCATTGATTTAAGACTCTTGACTTTTTATGCAGTTTCAGTGGAAGCTTACACCTATAAGAGGAGCCATTTAAGGGACCAGGATAGTACAAGCACTTAATATCTACCTTCCAGGACAGCTGGAAGGATTGAGTGAATTAACACATGTAAAGCACTTAGCTCATAGTTTCAGTTCGATAAATAACGTATATTTATATAGATCAAGGAAATGTGAACAATCGATAATGATAAAAAGAATTTAACGCCGTCAAAGCTGAACTTTGAAGTCCAAATTTCATTCATGTGTTGAACATTTCACTATTAATACATTCACATTATTATGGATTCTATGGAAATACAACTTTTTAAGTGTAGAAAATGTAAATAACCTAGTCAGACTCTCATTTTTATTTAAATAAGAGGAACTTACATTCTATGAATATTGGCTATATTTTAAAAGAATGGCAAGGAATTTTAAAGAATAAAATCTTTCCACATCTAAAGACTTACCTTCACACCCAGCTGTTTCCAAAAGTGTGCTAAAAAAATTCCAGTCAGTTTCATAGACATGTTGATCATTCATTCCTTTAGGACTTAATAAGCTGAATTTTTGTAACATGTTGGATTACTTTGACTTACATTGAGAACTAATGTAAGAAAATCACATGAAGAAATTTTTTTCTTTTGCTTATAAATGTGAAGACTCTTTTTACATACTATGATATTTTGTGTCTCTTTAATACTGACGTATCATTTATCCTTTTTTAAAAACTATTTTATTGGGATCATATTGGCTTACATTATGTAAATTTCAGGTGTACATCACTATATTTCAGTTCCTGTATAGACTGCATCATGTTCACTACCAACAGTTCAATTTTTAATCCGACACCATACATATGTGCCCCTTTATACCTTCTGCCATCCTCCCATCATTTATCCTTTTTTTTTTCATTGTTTTTTTTGAGGAAGATTAGCCCTGAGCTAACATCTGCCACCAATCTTCCTCTTTTTTGCTAAGGAAGACTGCCTCTGAGCTAACATCTGTGCCCATCTTTCTCTACTTTATATGTGGGACGTCTACCACAGCATGGCTTGACAATCAGTGTGCAGGTCCATACCCAGGATCCAAACTGGTGAACCCCAGGCCACCGAAGTGGAACATGCAAACCTAACCACTGCGCCACCGGGCTGGCCCCATTTATCCTTTTTTTGAGCAGCAAAATGTTTGTTCCCTCTTCAGAATTTATGTACTTATTTTCTCAAATAATGGGAACTCTATAACCCATCTGCTTTTATTTGCCTTGGCTCCCAGGAAGCTCAACATTAAATTCATTCTGAATTACAACTATCTTTCTATCTTTCCTAATAGAACTATTTTCTCCCTTTGTCTTCATGGCTGATAAGGTGTTATATTACTTAGTTTTTGTTGTGTGACAAGCTACCCTAAAACTTAGAGGACTAAAACAGCAAATATTTCCTATTTCTCATCATTCTGTGGCTGGATGATGAGTCTCTGGATCTGGGTATACCTGGCTGTGGCTGAATGGTCTGGGTGGCCTCATTCACTTGCCTGAAGTCTTAGCTAGGAATGCAGAACAACTGGGAGTGGTATAATAAGAAATATATTTGGTCTTTGTCTCCCAGTTCCTGGCACAGAGATCCTAAAACCCTTGGAATTTCCTGATTGATAGGAGTGATTTTATTATTCATAATGAACCCATTTATACCATACCTGAGTTTATACTAATGAGGTGACTTAGGATGGGATTCCTAGATAGCTTTAGGATGGGTCTGGTTGCCAAAAGAACAAATGATTGCAGAGTTGGAACTTTCAGCCCCACCCACTGACCTCCATGAAGCGGGGTGAGGATGGGGAGAGGGAGATTAAGTTTTATAACAATTCTTGAACAATGAGGTTTGATGAGCTTCCTGATCGCTGAACACATCCACATGCCAAGAAGGTGGTGAAACCCAGCTCCACAGGGACAGAACGGCCTGTGCTCAGGACCCTCCCAGACCTTGCCCTATGCACTGCTTCACCTGGCTGTTCATTTGTATTCCTTTCCTGTAAATGTAAGTAAAGCATCTTCCTGAGTTCTGTTAGCTGTTCCAGTAAATTATCGAATCTTAGGAGGGGGTCATGGCAACTCCTGATTTAAAGCCAGTTGGTCAGAAGTACAGGAGGCCTGGGACTTGTGACTGATGACGCAGTGAGGGCAGTCTTGTGGGACTGAGCCCTTAATTAAGCTGTGGGGTCTTCACTAAATCTGGGTATGGAGTTAGTGTCAGAATTGAACGGAATTGTTGAACACCCAGTTAGTGTCTAGCAAATCAGAGAATTGGTTATCGGTATTGGACAACACCCCACTGAGACAACTGGAGTCTCACTCCGTACAATCTCATCCTCCAGGCAAGCAGCCCAGACTCGTTCACATGCTGGCAGAAGGATTCCCAGGAGCCAGAGAGGGCAAAGCCCAACGTGTGAGTACTTTCTAATCCTCTGTTTTTGTCACACTTACCAAAGCATGACCCAGTCTGGATTGAAGGGGTAGAAAAATAGACTCAACCTCTTTATGGAAGGAGCAGAAAAGTCACATTCAAAGGAGAGTGTATACAGTGAGGCTTGAACAAATTGTTAGTATTCCTGCAGCAATCAATTCAGGGGCAAGAGTAGGAACTAGGGGCAAGATTTCTTTGTCTACGCCCTGTGGTCTTTTCACTCCATCCTACCTCCCAAATGAAAGCTGATGATAATCTAATATAATGAACCTCTGAGAATTCCTGAACTGAGAATGAATTACCGTAAAAAAAATGATTCAAGGGCCAGCCCTGGTGGCCTAGTGGTGAAGTTCAGTGCACTCTGCTTTGGTAGCCTGTGCCTAGTTCCCAGGCATGGACTTACACCACTCATCTGTCAGTGGCTGTGCTGTGGTGGCAGGTCACATACAAAAAGAGGGAGATTGACAGCAGCTGTTAGCTCAGGGTAAATCTTCCTCAGCAAAAAAAAAAAAAAAAAAACAAAACCAAAAAAACCAATTCTAAAGGGCATAGGATTGGGGCCGGCCCAGTGGCACAATGGTTAAGTTCGCATGTCCGCTTCTTGGCAGCCCCGGGGTTTGCTGGCCGGGATCCCAGGTGCAGGCATGGCACTGCTTGGCATGCCATGCTGTGGTAGGCATCCCACATATAAAGTAGAGGAAGATGGGCACGGATGTTAGCTCAGGGCCAGGCTTCCTCAGCACAAACAAGGAGAACTGGTAGTAGTTAGCTCAGGGCTAATCTTCCTCAAAAAAAAAAAGGGGCATAGGATTGAAGGATCAGCCAATAGATGGTCCCCAAAGGAGTAATTATAAAACTGGGCAAAGAGACTCTTTCTTTTCTGAAATCCAGATACCTAGATTTTTACCTGACACATCTCAGAGTCAAGCAGCTTAATAAGGCAAAAGAACAAACCATAATTTCAGCCCTATCAGAAGTCTTTTGTTTCCTTTGTTTCATGTAGGATGCAAAGTGTTGTTGGCATTGCAGTAGCCTGTTACCTGGTCTCTGCCACCTTTTTACACTCTCCAATCTATCCTGCACAGTGCTGTCAGAGTGAGTTATCGCCTCTGTAGAGAGTAGGACTGAGTAACTACTAGGTGAGTTTGGGAGGCAGTATGTTCAACTGAGCCCCTTTCTGTTCTCTCTCAGCTCAGCCTCCCAGGAGAGAGTGGGTGTTCTGCTCTGTTCCCTGCCATTTGGCAAAGGGCCTCTAAGAGGGGTGGGCTCACGGCTCTTAAACTGAGTCAGTGGCTCAAGGTAGCTCAAGGCCACCTAAATCTGGGGTAAAGTGTTAGCACAGTTTTGGCCTTAAATCTAAACCACATATCAATAGATTTTATTAATAATAAAACTAACTAATTGATCTTCCTTTGTGTGATTCCTGTGTCTTAATTGTCAATTGGTTTCAAACTTGGGAGAGGAAAAATCCCAACAAATGAGTAAAAATCTGCAGGGCAGGCTCAGTGTAAGTGCTCACGTGGTTTCTTTTTAGAATGATAAAAATGTTCTAGAACTTGTTAGCGGTGATGACTGCACAACTTTGTGAATATATTAAAAACCACTGAATTGTAGTAATAAAGCTAACAATAACAATAATTACTGTGTCTCCTGTGTGGGAGTTCACTGTCGAGGGACCAAGAACTGGAGTAGGGAAACCAGCCTCTTGCTATTGCCTCATAGAGTTGTTGAAGGATTGAATGGAATCATAATGTAGGTAAAGCACGAAAGACCTGGGACATAGCAAGTGTTCCATAAATGTTGGCCACCAAAAGAAAAAAAAAAAAAAGACATTGCCTCATCACTCACATTATTAACAGGTACTTTGCATTTTTCATTATCCATATAATACTTTTCCCACATGGTGACTAGTATGTATGTGTGACAGTGGTGGCATCTAAAATAGATCTCTTTCAATGGGATTATGTATAAGAAGGAGAGGATAGTTTGTAAACCAGAATAGTGAAACCCATTGTCATTCCTATATAAAATCGTCCTTTCAAATTGCCTTAAATAAAGAGATAGAAAACTGCAGTGAGAAATTTGGCTTGAGAAGTTGCTAATATATACTGTCTTTATGATCGGGCAGATGTTCTGTAAAACCCTTGAGTGTCTTGTCATTCTGCTGAAAAACACTTTACTTTTCTCAGATTTGACATGATTAAATAATAAAACAATTTGAATTTATCTTGGGAGCTTTTTTTTAAAATCATATCTCTTTTTTTA